TTACTATGGTACAGATATTGTGGAGGCTCATTATCAGGCCTGCTTGTATGCCAGAATCAAGATTACAGGAACTAATGTGGAAGTAATGCCTGCCCAGGGGGAATTCCAAATAGGATCCTGTGAACGAACCTTCATGCATCTTGCATCATGTACTTGAAGACTTTGGAGTGATAGCAACCTTTGATCCTAAGCCCATTTCTGGGAGCTGGAATGGTGCAGGTGGCCAAACTAACTTCAGCATGAAGGCCATGTGGGAGAATGGTTTAGTACACTAAGGAGGTCATGGAGAAATTAAGCAAGTGGCACTGGTACCATATTCGCATCTATGATCCCGAAGTGCAGCCTGGACAATGCCTGGCGCTTAAATAGATTCCATGAAACCTTTAACATCAATGACTTCTGCTGGCACAGCCAACTGTAGCACCAGTATCTGCATTCCCCATACTGTCAGCCAGGAGAAGTAAAGTTACTTTAAAGACAGTCGCCCTCTGCCAATTGTGACTCCTTTACTTTGACAGAAGCCCTTATCTGCATGTCTTCTCAATGAGACTAGCCATGAGCCCTTCCAGTACAAAAACTAAGTGGACTAGATTGCCACCTGTTGAGCCCCTCCTGGTTCTTCACCCTACTCCCAGTTGTCCTGCTTGTTTCCAATGTAACTCAAAGGGTGTATTATCAAGGTCTTTTTCAGTCTTCATGTTCAGTTAATCTTGCTGTTTTTGGCCAAGAGTAGCTAAACTCTTAATCTCTTCACACACCCCCATCCTCTTCCCTACTGTGGACGCTTTCTAACACATTGGTGGGGACAAGAGTAGGGAAAATAATCACTGCTTTCCACTTCACCAAGTGTGCTTGTCCAGTAAGTGTAGCTATCTGGACAGAAAGATGTATTTGTGAAGGAGCAGGAGAGGAGGGCTTTTTTTTTCAAGGTAGCTGAAAGGGGAAAGACTTGACTTTAGGCAAGTGAGGATTTTGCTCCTGGGAAGCTGTATTTTCTAAGCTATAACTAACTTTCTATTAATAATAGAAATTTGGAGAGGAGAAAGGGTTGGGGATTGGGGAGGAATGCCCTTCCTTGGTCTGTTGCTACAGTGCTTCTCTACTTGGGACTCCATCCCCTCCCATGAACACAAAGCTGGGTAAATTGATGGATAGAGGGAAAAAAGGCCTTATTGCTTGGGCCTCCCTTTATAATACAAAGCAAAGTAGTATTTTTATTTAAATGTAAAATCAAAAAAATTACATATGTGTATGTGGATATGTGGGTTTTTTTTTTTTAAAAAAGGAGAAAACCATCTTGGTCACTGGGTGTCAAATTTGGTTTAGAAATAAGAATCTCCTTTTGGGTAGGGATGGGCAATGTGGCTCTTGGTTCTTCATTACTATTGTGGCTTGTGTCTAGATGTTCCCCCAAAGCCTCATGCAGTCACAGGTGGGATTTTTTTCAGAAGTAGCTGGATCTAGAGTGTATGATGCTGGGACTGATTCATGGTGCAATGCTAGGACCAAGGGCACTAGGATTAAGGGTGTGTGATTAAGGCCACCTAGGACTAAGGCTACTTGCCATAAGTAGCCTGGATAAGATATAAGAATAGAAAGAGCTTGGTTATCTCTTGGTTCTTTTGCTATCTTCTGCTCACCATGAACAGTTTCTCCTCTACAATGCCTGACTGCCATGCCACCCTGTCTTGGATCCAGCCTATTATGGACTAAAACCTCTATGAACTGTGAGCTAAATAAACCTTCCTCCCTTAACTTGTGGGTGTTGGGTATTTTGTCTCAGCAACGAGAAAAGTAACTTGAGACAGAATTTGGTACCAGAGTAGGGTCATTGCTGTGACTCTGAGACTGAGATTAAGTGCACTGGACTAATTAACCTTGCAGAAGAAATTTCAAGGCAGTCTAATGTTGAGGCTGTGGCATGGCTACTGTTGGGGGCTTTTAGTCAGATTTATGTTGAGAATCATGAGGTAAGAGCCCAGCAGAATGATTTAAAATGTTTTGGTATGTTAAATTTTTAAAAGGCAAAACAAGTTTGGATTTTAATCAAATTGTTAGGGTTTTTAAGTATAATTTTACAGAATTGTCTGTTTGCTTCAGCTTTCTCCCTCCATTTTGCTCTTGGAGTTGGGGACAGACCTGGAGATAAAACACTTAAAATTCTGTATCCTAATGTCTTTTATCCTAGGTAGAATATTTCTTTCTTAAGTTTCCTAAGGAGTTGTTTCTCTTCTAATAAATCCCACCTTCATCCACACATTTTTCCACCACTCTTCTCTGGTTGTTGGTGTGCTGTGCAGCAGGTCAGCTGAGGTTTTCTCCTGCCATGACATCTAATTGCCAAGTACATTGTTTAGAGTTAGATAACTCCTCATTGTAAACAAACTACCCAGAGCAACACTTATAAATCAACCTAACATTTTATAAAGATATATCACTGTCTATAAAACTCAAAATTTTTCTTTTTTCTGTGGTATTGGAGATTAAAACCAGGGCCTTGTGCACAGTAGTCAAATGCTCTACTATTAGGCCACATCTCCAGGCCTTTTTTTATTATTATTTATTTTGAGATGGTCTAGCTAAGCTGCCCAGGATGGTCTCAAACTTTCAATCTTCTTGCCTCCGCCTCTCAGGAAGCTAGGGTAACAGGAGTGTATCATCATGCCTGGCAGGAAGATTTTTTTTTTTTTTAACAGAATAGAATTAAGAATATCGGGGCCGGGGATTTAGCTCAGTGGTTCCGCCGCCTGCCCCACAAGTCCAAGGGCTCGAGTTCGATCCCAGGTACCAAAAAAAAAAAAAAAAAAGAATATTTAAAAGAGGAAGAGCTAATCAAGGGAAACTGGCTAAAGATATATCCGTGATCCAGGATAATAAATCAAGAAAGGATCTAGAAGAAAAGAAAGCAAGGGAATCCAGAATATGGATCCAAAAAGAGACAACTCTTTCTCTGAGGTAAGAATAGGTCACAATGGGGGAAAAAAAAAGTAAATGGTTGGGGCAGCTGTGATGACTTGTATTTTCTTTATGAAGGTCTGACAGTATAGGGGTGCAGCAAGAAGTTCAAGGAGTGTTTAAGGTTTAGAATAAAAGTGTGGGTTTAAGGTTTAGAATAATTATGTGGGGTACTGGACAGAAACTGGCAAGAACAAATAAGAAAAATACTATACAGCATCAGGAATTCTAAATATAAACATAGTATTAATTTACACTACTAAAGTGTTTTCTCCAGTAAAGCTGCATTATTTGTGAATGCAAAGGTAGAACAGAAAGTACCAGGGTTGACAGCACTTATCAAATTGTGTGAGCACTGACATAATAGTAATGATAATGCTGTAGTAGGCTTCAGTGATAACCATGAAGTAATCTAGGGCAGAATATTCTGACATATTATAGTATAAAAGTAGCCAGTATACTTTTTGCCACGTTATGAATCTTAATTTTACCCAAAAAGCAATCTCAAATTTCATCTATAAAACAAGAATATAAGTATCTATCTCCCAGAGTAACTGCAAGAATTAAATGAGATACTGATACAAACTCTTAAAACCATTAAACAAGCTGTTATTAATGATAACAATACTACTTATAGTTTTAAGAGATAACACTACCATCATCATCTTTGTTAGTAACATAGCTCTGACAGCCCAGCTCAAACTCACAAATTTATTTTCTGCTGCTTATTCTTTACTATACTATGGTCTACCTGCTCTCTGGAAGAATCAGGATCCTGGCTTTTATGTAAAGCATATCTAGAGAACTCTGGAAATAAGTCCTTTCTCCAACTCTCATCTGTCATACCTGCCTACAGCTCCTGTGCTGAAAGACAACATAAACAAGGGCATAAGTTAGCCAAGTAGGAATATGATTCCTGTGGCAACAGGAAAAGCTTCAGTGAAGAGGCCTAACATGGTTTCAATTGATCAGAGTGGTGTGATACATCCCAGAGCACGGACATTACCTTCCTTGCCCATTACTATTGATCTTAACACTAATCCCATGCAGCAGTCCTACATTGCCCTGATCTTGAGCCAAAACTTAAATACTTTACTCTCTGCTACCTACTCTGCACTATATTTTGTTTTCCTTATTCTCTGGGAACGATTAGGTCTGGAATACTAGGCAAACCACGGATGGGTCTCCAGAAGGAACTCTTCCCCCAATCTCCCATATCTCCAAAGATGAAGGTTGTTTGATATACTCATTCTAAAAGAATAACAAAATACAAGGCCAAGTGCCTGAACAGAAATAGAGCTAAGAGACTTCTGTGACAATCCCAGAATAATGACACTAGGTGAGGATAACAGAATAGTTAGGCGTATGTGCACCTGTGTGTAAGTGTGTGTGTGTGTGTGTGTGTATGTGTTTGTGTAACACAAACTTTCCAAACATACATCAAAGTGCAAAAAATATTATGATGAAGCCCAAGGTCAGCATCACTCAGTTTGAATGATTATCAACATTTTGCCTTTTCATCTCTTCTCCAACTTTTCCAAGGTTATTTTACAGCAAATCAGAGATTCTGGCACATTTTGATATAATTAAAGACATTTTACTCTTAGCCTAATCTGGAGGTCTTTTTATTTTTTTTTGGTACCAGGGATCAAACTCAGGACCTTGCACTTGCAAGGCAGGTGCCGGAACCACTGAGCTAAATCCCCGACCCTGAAGGTCTTAAATCTATGTAATCTACACACAAGCTAGCTTGATAAACTTCAGTCCAATCTTAATTAGTCTTGTTTGTCATTTAAAAAGTATAAGGGGTGATCAAAAGATACGGTGAATGTTTAAATTTATTTAAACATTTATTACAGTAAAGGATACATTGCCAAGAATAGGGTGTGTTTGAAATATTTTGAGAAAAATTAATGGCAATGTGTCTTTCACCGTAATAAATTCTTTAATCTAAACATTCACCATATAATTTAAACACCCTGCATTGATCAAACATTTACAACAATTTCTGTCAAATAAAAATATTTCAGTGTGTCCTCACTCACCTTATTCACCAGACCAGCACTGTGCAACCTCTGGCCCTTCTCCAAAGTCAAAATGAACATAAAAAAGAAAGATTTTTTAATAAATCAGGACACTGAAGCAGCCACAACAGCAAAATTAGACACTCCTAAAAGAGAACTTTAACAGCTCCTTCAGAAAGTGGTAAGAATAATGGGAAAAGTGTGTTCAAAGCAAGAGGGAATATTTTGAGGGAGATAAGTGGGAATGTGTTTTTCCTTGTAATAATTTTTTTTAAAAAATTTAAATATTCACCATATTTTTGATCACACCTTCTCTACGCTGCTCTACCTGTTCTCTAGAGGTGGATTTGTCCTGGATCTTAGAAGGAACATATTGATGACACTCCAGAGGCAATTCCTCTCTTACTCTTTCTTCTGTCATAAAAGACGAGGTTTGCTTGAGAAACCTGTTCTAAAGGAAAAACAAAAACAGAAAAAAGAAAAAAAAAAACCAAAACCTTACCAGGGCAATATACTAATTTTAACAGGCTTCAGCAAGGATACTAGGTAAGAATATTCTTACAAGTTTTGAGATGAGTAAAGATAGTACACTTTTAACCCAATTCTGTAGAGTTTAATCCCAAATCCCAAACCATAGGCAGAAGAGTCTGAGAAACTAATCTAGTCTCTTTTTCCCTCCCCCAGTACAGGGGACTGAACCCAGGGCCTTCACACTAAGCTACATTCCCAATCCTATTTTCACTTTTTATTTTTGAGACAGATTCTCACTAAGTCACTAAGTTTCCCAGGCTACACTCCAACTTGGAATCCTCCTGCCTCGGCCTCCTAGCGTGCTGAGATTATAGGTGTGAGCCAACACTGCTACATCTTCCTCACTTGTTCATGTAGGGTCACTACGCTTGTGGTAATACTGTGGGATTCAGCAAGAGTTGGAGAACAATCACAGTAAATTAAAATAGTCTAACTAATATATCAGCCTGTTCAACGGCAGAACTGGTTTCATTTTTATAGTTCAGCAGAACAGGGTCTTTTGTTTCATTAGTTGTGGGGTAGATGAGAAAAAAAGAGAAGACCAGTAGGAATTCAGTTGATTGGGGCTTAACACTCCATGAATCTTTCCTGAAGTAAGAGCATTGTTTTAATATGTAGGACTATGATCTTACTAATATGGGAAGGAATCAAAGACATACTTTTAGCTTAGCCTCAAAGTTCCTGATTCTATATTTCAAATTACCAATCGTTCAGAATTTATAAAACCTAGTTACTTTATTTCCCATTTCT